GGGGCAAAGAGCTGGTGTGTACCTGCAGGTAGGAGACCTGCCTCCAGCAGTCATTCACGTGCACATGGCCGTGGTAGGCTGCCCCATCAGCTCCCTGAGGACCACCTACTACACCATGGAACGGTGCTACAAGGAGCCAATCATCAGGTGCCTGGTCCACAGCCCCACCCTCAGCTCTCCAATGGGCCCTGAAACCCTCTGGCCTGAGCTCCCTCTGCCCTCCAGCCTGGGTCACCCCCATAGGCGTGTTGCTTTCCAGCTGGGCTGGTACCACTTGGGGCCACCCAGCATGAAGTTCCCAGGTCAGGGCTAGCCTGAAAGAGAGAGCCTTCCCACCATCTGCACACCTCTGAGAGCTTGGAGTTGTAGAAGTTGTGAGTGGTCAGTATGGACAAAGGTCAGGGCCACACCTGTAGTCCCCACACACCACCTTCCTGTAAGCAGCACAGGTGGCACAGAACCCCTAACTGCAGGGTGTGCCTGGCTGTAGTCATGCTAAACCTAGTCTCTGTACTCTCAGGTTTGGCACGCAGCTCTCTGGAGGAGACACAGTCACCCGGATCCTTCGCCTGAATAACTCCAGCCCCTGTGGTGAGATGCTCGCGAGATAAGTCGGGGCTCTCCCTACAGGCTGTGCTCTGTGGCAGTTGGGCTAGGCAGGAAGACGGGGTCAGACCCAGGAGTCCAAAGTGGCCTGTACTCACTGATGGAGGCACCTGAAGGCCAAGGTGGGGGCAGTGACCAAGGCAGCTCAAGGCTGCCAGAGAGTGACTGGAGGCTTTCAGGACAGGGCTTGCCCTTGCTTAACCTTGGGCCTCCCAGTGTTGATGGGGCCAATGCCTTACTCACATTGGGGGTCACTTTGCACAGGACAGACACCTCTGGGGACCCCTTCTCATTGCTTCAGCCATGCCTCAGCCACATGCTACATGCCCTGCGAGGGGCTGGCGCTACCAACCAGGGGGACAGGAGACTGGTGTCCATGAGGGCTGCCAGAGGGCTGGGCATGCTGATGTAACTGAAGGTCAGAGTGTTGCAGAATGGGTAGAGGAGACCCAAGCCAGGCTCTCTTGTGGGCAGGGGGTGTTCCCACTAATTTCAGGAGGAAGGCTCAGCCAGCCTGGCCCTGGGAGCATATTATGAGCACCAGGGAGATCGCTGAGGCCTGGGGGAGCCAGCCCGTATCATACATGACTCGCCTGGGGAACTGAAGGAATCCTGAGACCCATGGAACCCCACCTGAGTCTGGTCTCTCTGGGCAGGTCCGGGGCTTTGCCATTTTTAAGGGTACTTGGGACAATCTAATGTTCCGTCAAGGTGGATGACCGCTGTTCTGTGTCTTTACTGCCGCCTGACTCTCAGATGTGTGCCGTTTTTAAAAGAGTGTCTTTCTTGCAGTGTCTGCTATTGTCATCCTATGTCTGTCCGGTTCTCCTTGCATTCTGAACCCTTTTAATGTATATTTTATATTTTTAGCCGCTCTGCTGTTCGATGCACTTGTGTTGTGTCTGGGTGGACTAGAGAAACAAATTCATAAACACACATATGTATATAAGGGAGAGGTTTATATACAAGAGCAATTGAACATTAAGAAAATATCCCAGCCCAGTCCAGATCAAGTCCATACATCCGATATTAGCCCATATTTCTGACAGTAAGCTATAAAGTCCTATTCAGACTCACGAAACACATGTGAGTTAGTTAATTGTGCCAACCTGGCCGATAATCACATGTAGGGCTAATTGAAAAGCAGAGGGATAAATGGGTGGTGAGCCTCGCCTTTCTAGTTCTCGGGTCTCTTGCTTTGTGATGGTCGCACTAGGGTGCAGCTGCCTTAGCAGTTCCCTGCTTCAGCTTGCAAGATTGACTTCCTACAAGACATCCCCAAGGAGAAGCCACATAGACCCATCCCTATGCAGCCCTGGGTGCTGGAGCAGCCGTGTGGAGACCCCTGCTAGTGATGAGATGCTTATTCGTTCACTGACTCAGCTTTCCTCCTGCAGTCGGCATCATTGCCTCTGTTTTGTGAGGTGGAGGACTTTGTGGACTGGTGTTGGGTTAATGGGTTAATGTTGGACTTGTGGGCTTGGGCAGCATTGGGTTGGGATGTTTTCGTGATGCACACTCTCTTTACATAAAACTCTCTTATAATGAGTTGCTGTGGATTTGTTTCTCTAAAGTACCTAGACTAATACAACATGCAATGATGCTGAATGCAGGAAGATCACAGGTCAGTGGGTATAAAGTCTTTGGATCCAGTGGTGTTGTAAGCATCTCAGCGCTGGGAGGGGTCTCCATGTGGCTACTCCAGTTCCCAGGGCTGCATCAGGGTAGGTCCATGTGGCTTCTTCTCTGGGATGTCTTGCAGGAAGTGAGCCTTGTCAGTAGAGAGTCTCTAAGGGAGTTAGCAGAGAGAGGAAGGTGTCTCCCGCCTCCAAGGAAGAAGTACCAGATTTCCCAGAATTTTCGGGAGAAGGCCATGCCCACAGAAGTCTCATTGGCTATCTCCAGATTGACAGCCTAGACTCCACCCCCCCACTCTTAATCCTTAATTTGACACCAGATTAGGTGTCTACCACATGCGTATTGGATTGTCTTCACAAAGTAGGCTTTTTATCACCCACTAATGTTCCACGTGGCCCCTTTCAGGTATTTGTCATTAGTTTTCGCCTGGCCTTGTATTAACATTGCTACCCTGATGTCTTCTCATTGCATTTGCCTGGCACCCATGCCTCTGTTTTCATACTGTGTGTGTTTTTGAAAGCAGAGAGCTGATTGTTTTCTTTTTATTGTTTGTAAACTCAGTCTGACCGCCTCTGTCTCTTATGGAAAAAGTCGGTGGACTCATAGATTTCCTCCATCCTGTGATTTAGTTATGCTGATTTGATTGATCAAAGCACTATCGGTCCCTTTCCCGTCTGCTGCATTAGGGATTTCTCGCCCACTTTCCTTTCATGGCTCCCTTGTCTTTCTTGGAGCAGCACATCGTTCTATCTCTACTTTGACGTCAGATGTTTTGGTAAGCTTCGGGACATGTGGGTCGTTGGTGACCCTGGGGAGAGGAGTGGGTGAGAGGAAGAGGGAGGTGTGGATGTGTAATGTGTGTATGAGGTGTAACGTGTGGATGCTTCCTGTGCCGCAGAGCAATGGTGGTCCCTGGAAGAGGTCCTCTAGCTCAGGGACTGCTCATGGTAGGGCAGACCTGACTTGTTTAAGTGCTCCTGGGAAATGGTCAAGAGAGATGAGGGTCTGATGACAGAAGTGAGAGGGGAGACTGCGTGGCTGGTCCCCAGGAAGGAGGGGCAGGATTGAAGGCAGGTGGAAAGGGGATGATCCCATACATGCAGATGTGTAGGCTTGGAACGGGACTTGAAGGATTTCCTGGCTTGGGAATTCTGGGAGAAGAGGGAGCAGATGGAGGTGTTGCTGCGGGGCAGAGAAGGCTTGACATTGCCATGGTAAAAGCTAGGAGGGAATGCGGACTAGTAATATGCAGGGATGGCCAACGGGAGATGTGTGTGTGTGGGGGGGGTGTCCCATCTAGTTGGAGGCAGACTTATGGTGGTGGCAATTTGCTCAGCTTGGGGAATTGTCTCCAGCAATGGCCAGGAACGTTCAGTTCAACTCGGGTTAGGTTTTACCAGGCAGGTGGAAGGAGACAGGATCCCGGCAAGACACGTGACTCCCGGAGACTAGCCTGGCTGTGGGGGGAGGTGAATGCCAATGGGCTAATGGAGGGAGGGGAAGACATGGGGCACGGAGGTTGGCGGGATCACTGGCGGTCCCAGCAAGAGGCTGGAGAGAGGATGGATTACCTGGATTCCTGCGTTTGGACTTGGAGGTGACACCTGGGCCTCATAACAGCAAAGTGACGTGATGAGGAGGGCTAAAGATGACACAGCCAGGTGGCATATGGCTGTGAAAACTAAAAGAAATGAGAGCTTCTGACAAAAGCAGTGGCATTGGAGAGGCAGAGAGGCCTCCCTGCACCAAGTGTGGGGGGAGGGGCAGCCTCGGTTGGAGGAGCCCCAGGGAGGAGGTCTAAGGAGCTCATCTTCTCCGTTCCTTCTCTTTCGCCCTGTTCCCCACACCTGCCCCAGACATCCGCCTGGACTGGGACACCTATGTTCCCGAGGACAGGGAGGAACAGCTGGTGGACCTGCTGGTGTTCTATGGGCCACCCTTCCCACTGCGGGACCAGGCTGGGAACGAGACCCTATGCCCCGAGAGCCGGGAGACTACCTCGTCCTCCTCGTCCTCCTGTCCCTCAGATGTGTCTGTCATCAGCCACGAAGCTGTCCTGTCTGTAAGCAGAGGGCGGTGGTGGGCTGGCGGCTCTGCGGGCTGCTGAGGGGCGGGCAGCGGGCCAGCTGCCTCGGTGTAAGCCCGGGCCCTCCTTGGCAACAGGCGGAGAGCAGCAGCAGTGGCAGCACTAGGAAGGCCCCGAAGATCATCTCGGTCATGCTGCAGGAGCACGAGGGGGTGCCCTCCGATGACCTGTACTCTGTCAGCCCCAGGCAGGTGGTGAGTTGGGTCAGGAGCTGAGAGCTCCGAGCCCGCACGCGGGCCGGCGGGCTGGCCAGTGGGCATGAAGCAGTGCTGAGGCTGCCTGTCTGTGCCAGGTGGTCCCTGCTGGGGGCAGTAGCACCATCTACATCTCCTTCACACCTATGGTCCTCAGTCCTGACACCCTGGGCAAGGTGGAGTGCACTGGCTATGCCCTGGGCTTCATGAGCTTGGACAGCGAGGTAAGCCCTCCTGGCCTGGAGTGAAAGCCAAGGGAGGGGGCAGGGTCTGGGACACCATGACCGCCTCTTTCTGAGATGGCACCTGACAACAATGGCTCAGCCCAGGGGCCACCAGTGATCGGGCTTGGGCCTGTCAGGTGGACAGAGAGACTCCAGGGAGGTGGCGGCGCCTGCAGGACTTTGCTGTGGGACCTCTGAGACTGGACCTACATGGCCACGTGAGGCCCGCGCAGTGAGTCCACTGGGCTGCCGGGCTTTCCCAGACCCCTGTGGGGAGCAGCCTCACCACACACTTCTGGGGACAAGCCAGGGTTCTGGGTTCCAGGGCACAAATGGAAGGGAGAAGCTAGCAAGTGAGGCAGGGAAACGCTGGCCAGGGGCTTGATGGGCAGAGGGGTGGCCAGTGGGCCTGAGGCCTGACCCAGCAGTGCCTGTTGCTGACCAGGCTGAGCGTGGAGCTGGACTACGATGGGAGCATGGAATTCCAGCACCAAGCCAGTGACCTCATCCTGGAACATCCCTGCTGCAGGGTGAGCATGCTGTGGCCCCAGCCCCTCCTGCATCTCCAATACCCCTCTGGGTCTGCCTGGGCCCCGCCCTCCCCCGCCACCCCCGGTCCTGGGATTGAGGCAAGGAGATGCAACCCTGCTCTGCGGCTGTCCAGGTGCTGAGTGAGCTTGTCACCACCCACCACCTGAAGCTGACCAACACGACAGAAATCCCACATTACTTCCGGCTTCTGGTCTCCAAGCCCTTCTCCGTTTCCCACGACGGGGCCAGCGCCAGAGCTCCCAGCCCGGACCAGGAGCAGGACTATGAGGAGAGAGAGGCAGGCAAGCTGCTGGTGCTCCCGCCGCAGGAAAACATGCTGGTCAGTGGAGGGTCCGCAGGCACTCACCGCCCAGACACACACCCACCTGCAGCAGGTGGCCTCCCTGTCACACACACTCACGCAATGTAGCTCCACCCACTCCTACTGAGAGGCGGACACACGCATGCACAGGCCTTGTTTCCAGACACGAGTGTCTGTCTGGCCCCGCCATGCCGGGTCAGCCGTGGACTCGCCCTGTGGGCACCCCCTGGGCTGTCTTGTCCACTTGCGGGCTACATTTTTGCTCCTAAGATGCTCCCCTACGTGGTTTGGCGTGCCTGTGCTACAGCTGGGCACGGTGCTGGATGTGGTGCTGCAGAGGGGCCAGGCAGAGAGCCCTCTTGAACCTCACCATGGAGTAGGGGAGACCGAGGAGTCTGCAGAGGGCAGGGCACCCTGGACCCAGTTAGCCTTTGTCCCTTCTTCAAGAGTGCCCTGAGGGAATCCCCAGGACCTAGCCGGCTTGCTCCACAAAGCTCCCCAGGAGACTGCAGGCTTAGTTGCCTGGTGTGGAAAAATCCTCCGGGAGTTTGGGGGGAGCCCAAGGGTTCCCAGAGAAAGGTCATCTTGACCAACCCAGTGCCTCACCCTCCTGTGCCTGAGACAAGGCAGCGGCTCCTGCCCAGACTTTGCTCCCAGACTAACTGTGTCCACACTGGAAGGCCAGGGTTGATTCTGAAGAGCCCACCCCAGGGACCTGTGTTTGGGAACCACAGGGCCAAGCCCCAGCCTCTCTGGCCGCCCGGCGCACAGCTGATGCCCCGCTGGAAACCCACCAGGGGCTCCTCATTATCCTCAGGACACGCCCACCAGGGGCTCCTCCTTGTCCTCAAGACACGCCCACCAGGGGGCTCCTCACCTCAACCCACCAGCCAGACTGCAGCCCTGGTCAGGCTAGGTGGCAAAGACTCCTTTGCTTACTGGCCTACTCCCCTCTGTCTAGCCTCTGGGCCGAGGGCAGACCTGCCCATAGCCCTAGCACTAACAGGGTGCTGGCAGTGTCTGTGGGGTGAAGGGGCCAGGTGGGGCACTGGGTGCAGGGTGAGAGGTGTACTGCCTGGCTGGTTGCAGGGCAGGGCTGGGCTGGGCCTGCAGAGCAGAGCGGTCGGTCAGAGGGAGGTGTCGGCAGCCCACCTCTCCTCTGCCCAGGTAAACGTGTCCTTCTCGCTGTCCTTGGAGCTGCTCTCCTATCAGAAGCTCCCAGCTGATCAGATGCTGCCAGGAGTGGAAATTCAGCAGAGCAAGAATGGGGAAAGGGAGCTGGTGTTCACACAGGACCTGCTCCTGGAGCATACCAACCAGACCATGCAGGCGAGTCCCGGCCGCCTAGCATGGCGCCGAGGGTGAAGCCAGGCTAGACCCAGGCTGGACCTGGATCTGGCAGGCTCCCAGGGGGACAAGCCCAGGAAGGGCCCTCAGAATTAAAAGGGGCAGCCTCAGCCCCTGCCTTCAGGGTTCAGAGAGGAAGGTCACCCCTGCCCCACTGGGCCAGGCGGAGTCATGTAGGATGGCAAACCAGGAAGTTTCCGCCGAGGAGGCATCATGTGAAGGACACACACTGTTCAATCAGGAGAAATGGGAGCAACATTGAGTGTCAGGCTAAGTAACTTGGGGACTGTGAGCAGCAGAGGCAGCTGCCAGGGTTGACTCTTGAGTTTATATGCTGGGGTTTCCAGCCAGCTGAGCACCGACCACACAGCTTGCGGTGTGGAAGCTGAGCTGATGGACTAGGTGAGGTGGATGCAGAAAAGGCTAGAGGACTGGATTCAAGATGCTGGAAGGAAGAGCTGGAGGTGAGGGCCCAAAGGAGCTCTCTCAGGCCCCGGTGCCTAGCAGCTGCTGGAGCTAAGGGCTGGAGGAAGAGACTGGGGATGGCAGTGCCTAAGGGCAATGAGGGGTGGCTGTCAGGGCCAGGAGAGGACCCAGCTGTGGCCTGAGGCCCAGGGAAAAGTGAGATAACCCAGAGCCTGAGGGGAGCAGAGAGCCAGGCCTTGGGGCACCCATGGGAGGAGGGGGTGGTGGAGTGGGAGGGCTGCCTGCTCAGGAACAGAAGCTGAAGAGCTTGGTCTCGGGGAGGGGCACAGGAAGTGGATGGAATCTCCCCGAACGAACTCACCAGCACCTCTGGCTTTCAATGCCAGCACCAGCCCTCTGCCACACACAGGTGCTCTCCTCACAAGTTCCAGGGTGGTAGCAGGGGTCGCTGAGTCCCAGAGGTCATGGCTCAGAGCCCAGCTAAGTGGGCTGGCTTCCCCCTCCCCCCCAGGTGGTGCCCCTCCGGGCCACTGTGGCTGTGCCCGAGCTCCAGCTCTCCACCAGCTGGGTAGACTTTGGGACCTGCTACGTAGGCCAGCTGCAGGTCCGAGACATCTACCTGATGAACCTGAGCTGCTGCCGGAGCTACTGGACAGTGCTGATGAGTAAGGCATGGCTTCCCTCCAGCTCACCGGCCCACTGTGGGCCTGGTCCCAGCTGGGAATCCCTGCAGAGATGGCCAGTTCCATTCCTCTGGGAGGCACAGCAAGGCTGAGTGTGGTTGAGGCTCCCTGGGGCAGCACATGGAGCTGCCTGGCCTGTCTCTGTCCCCCACAGGCCCCCAGGAGTCAGCTTTCCGAGTCTCCCCCAGCAACGGGCTGCTGGAGGCTCGGCCGGTCAAGGCGCCCCCGCCCACCATCACCCTGCAGGTTATCTTCACTGCCAGGTACAGCCTCTCCCAGCGCCCAAGCCACCTGGCCACGGGCCTCCTAAGCTCAGAACCCACCCCACTCCCTACTCCCCACAGGGGCAGAGAGCTGTACGAGTCCACGCTGGTGGTAGAGGGCATGCTTGGTGAGAAGGCCTGCACCCTGCGGCTCCGGGGCCAAGGCTCCTATGATGAGAAGTACATGACCTCCTGCTCTGAGGTGTGCCCCTAGCCCCTAGCCCCCAGCCCCCAGCTCTGGAAATAAACCTGACCCCCAGCACAAGAGCAGGTCTGCTGCAATGGGGTAGTGGGAGGAGCTGGTGCCTCAGCCTTTGGCCCTGAGTGGTTCCTGGGGGGTGGGGGTGGGGTGGGGTGGGAAGCCCACCCCTAGGGCGGAGGAGTGGCATATAGCACTCCGTGCAGATAGGGACTGTTTCTCAAGATGGAGCAGAGAGGCCTGGTGTGGCAGTCCTGACGCCTGGAAGGAAGAGCCGGCAAGATAGGAGAGCACACTTTTATTCTGCCCTTTCTGCAACAGTGGCCCAGAGGGCGGGTGGGGGTGTGTGTGGGGTAGACTGTGCGCTGCCACTGCTGCTGTGTTCGCCTTGCCCCAGTTTGCAGAAGCGCCTTGCAGGCCCACTGCCATTACATGGCTTCATTTGTGGCGTTGAGCTCTCGCTGCCAGAGCATGGCTGTCGGGAGCTCCTCAGTTCCCCGGGTACTCAAAGACAGCAGCTGCCCCCATTCCGGTGCCAATGCACATGGACACCACCCCATAAGCCCTGTGGAGGCAAGACCGTGCTGGCTGGGCAACGGCTCCACCGCCAAGGTGCGCACACAGGAGCCAGTGGTGCTGGAAGGCCCAAGGCTTAAGAGGCACAGCTGAGGTGGACCCTCCCGTGCCATGCAGGGGCACGGAACCCCCCCTCCCCACAACACAGAGCGCCTGGGCCCCAGGGGCTGGCCTCACCTCTTCCCGCGACGTTTCAGCTCGTTGAGCAGCGTGATGACTTGCCGTGCCCCCGTGCAACCCAGGGGGTGGCCCAGGGCCACTGCACCCCCTAGCGGGTTCACCTTCTCTGGGGGCAGTCTCAGCTTCTCCACACAGTAGACGGCCTGGGAGGGGGGCAGGCCTCAGCTTCAGCCCCCACCCCGGCACTGCATCCAGGGGCTTCCCCCCAGGTGCCCAGCGCCCAGGCAGGGCTGCCAGACCAAAGCTCACCTGGCTGGCAAAGGCCTCGTTGATCTCAAAGATCTCCACATCATCCACGGTCAGCCCTGCAGGGAGGGGAGAGGCCCGAGCTTACCCAGTGACGTCAGCAGCTCTCTCCCTGGGCCTCAGCCCACGGGGGAGCCTGCAGG